AGTAACTTGGATGGATTTGGAGTTGATCATATTCAGTGATGTATCACAGAAACAAAGAACAGAGTACCATATGTTTCTCACTCATAAGCGGACCTTGAACAATTATAATACTATAAGAAAGCAATTGGCAGTAATGGGAAACTGTCAGGGGAGTGGGGGTGGGATTGACAGTTGAGGGAAACTGCTAAGGGAGGGAGGGCATACCTCATCAACAAAGGTACCTGCATAATCAATGTTTGTATACCTAACCCTGAATTTTACCCCACATCTTTATAATAATAATAAAAAAAGAATAATACTTTGAAGATGACTGCAATTTAAACATGTAAGAATAAATATACATTTTTTTTATAAATAAATTCAGGGTTTTTTCTGTACCCCCTTATATATGCACATATATCTTCACAAAATTATATTTTATTACACTTATTTCATTGTAAACACTTATTTTTCCAGCAAAAGCCATGCTGTTATTTATCTCTCATTTATAAAACACACTCTTGACCCCTAGTCCCTCAAAATTTTCTGCCCCTGCCATTGCTTACTTTGACAATTTATCTATTTATTTATGTATAGTATTTTGCATTTGCTTTAAAAATGTATAGGAACATTTTAATGACATAAGGAAAATTCTCATGAAATATTGACAAGTGAGAACATTATATAATCTAAAATAGTTTTATCCAAAATATGTTATGTAAGGAAAATGTATAAAGAAAAGCAAAAATGAGTAGTGATTTTTCTTGTGATTTGAATTATACCAATTTTTCATCCATATAATCTTACATTCTCTAGTATTTTTCATATTTCTAAAGTAAATATATTATACTAATGAAAAAGTTCTTATTTTTTAAAGTGCCTCACTGAGAGTTTTTTTTAAAGAGCAACAGAGCATTTATTTATTGTTGCAGAAAGTCAGTTGGAAATAAAAAAAATTACAGTGATTTTTTTGTTTAATATTACTGACTACAAGCACCATAGATCATTAAAATTATCCTTTCATAGTTGCTAGTCCTCAATGAATCTTAGGACCCTCTCCCATTATGATGTAAGTTTAATAAGAGTCGGGATCACACTGATATTGTTCAATGCTGGACCCCTAGTCCCTGGAAAAGCCTGCCACATAAATTATCTGTTGAATGAATGAATGAATGAATCAGTGAATAACATGTATCTTTTAAAAAGTGAATTGTTAGCTGCTATTTGTTAGGCTTTTCTGTAAGTTCATATCTCAGGAGTGAGAGTTGGGAAATTCTGTCAGATAATGTGTCAAAGTTCAGTTAATATACCATAACTAAACTTCCTTCCAAATGAATCATTTTTCTCTCATTGTTTCTGCCTCCA